TATCCAACATCTTGCACCACAACTCAAAATTTTTTCATTGAGTGCAACGCTACGTATTTCATAAAACGCGTGCATAATGCAATATCCATCATTTCGAAGTCACATTAATCATTTCTTGTAAAAAAGAACACATAACAAAACCTAATTGATCAAATTATGATGATTTTTTTATAACCATTTAAAAGTCAACATATCATACATGTTTGAAGCGCAGTTTTTTCATGTATAATAATACAGAAAGAAGAATATGTCATCACAATTTAAAAAATGATGATCTTGAATACTCGGAAAAAAAGTGATTTTGCGATTATGAAAAATCATGAACCACAATACATATTTATCTGTTATTTCATTCTTACTTTTATATTGATAAAGATGCCGAAGATATTAAAATAAGCAAGATAAGAGAAACATCCTATAGACGTATAGGTATATGTAAATATAATATATTATGAATGATTTAATGAACACGAAACAATTTGACAATTTCTGATGAAAATTTTTAAGAAGAAAAATTACGAAATTATCGTAAGCAAAAAACGTCAAGTTTCAAAAATCTAATCTAGAAGAAATACGATAGACAGCTGTACAAATTCTTTTAATGATATATTACACAGTGCATCGAATCAGTAGAATTTGAGGGCAAAAGTCATATTTCGGGTTTTTGTGATTTATTATATCTATGTTTTGATAGATTAGTATTTATTTGGTAAATTAGAACTTTGTTTTATAAATATTTTTCTTATTGAATTAAATATTATAATTATTATAATATTATATATATATAATTATTAATATTATAATATTAAAGTAACAATTGTTACAACAGCTATTATAGTTATTGTACTATTACATTAAATTATTATTATTACTATTACCCTACTATTGCCTTTTTATCGAAAAAAAGTCGATTTTTTTATTTCTTTATTCTACAGACAACGCACAATGTATTCAATCAATAGAAATTAGAAATAAAAATCATATTTTAGACTTCAATTATTTAAGTGTTTATACACATTTCAATAAATTATTATATTTTATATTTTTATATTTTTATGTAAATAATTAATGAAATTATGAAATTTAAAAAACTTCCTAGTTTTTTGTTCTTCTGAATCATTATACATATCTAAATCTTTTTCGTTGCTGAGTTGAAAAAAAAATTATCAAAAATTAAAGGGCAAATAGAGGCTGCTAATTTTTGCATAATTTTTTATAAGATATATACGCACGTTTCCATTAAAAATCATGAAGCAGTTTTGAGAAATAGTTTTAAAAATTTTAATTATAATTATCAGAGCGTTCAAATCTTCATTAATTTGATCGTAAAAAAAAGTGAAAAAAAAAGCAGAAAATAACAAGTATTTATCTTCTAATGACACACGTGAGCAAAATTTTTATTTTTATAAAACAAGCACACTTGTAATTGTAAGACAATTGGAATTTCAACAGAAACTTTTACCTCGTAAATGAAATGGCCAGATTGATAACATTTGATTTAATAACATTGTTTGCATATTTCTAATACATATCTGGGAATACTCTCATGAAGCACTCAAGTGCCAACATAGAAGTTGATTTTTTGATTTTTATCCGTATTGTGCATCAGTTAAGAAGCAGTTGTATTGTCATATATAATGGCAAAATGATACAATTTCATAGATGGGATAGTTTTGTAAACTGGAACCGGACAGTGATGGGAATTCCACGCAATGAACTTGATGGTGGATTTGTGCAGTATCAAACCTACTTTAAAAACAGATGGCGGTTTGTGTTGTTTCAAATTGCTGCTCATTGTCAATACAGTTCAAGTAGATTAAACGAAAAGTTACTTACTCATTTTTAATACTGTAACGAGAAAGCATTAAAACAAAATTTCTTTTCACTTATACAAAAATTAAAATTACTGAGTATATGTTATTGGAGAATTTATATAAATTTATATAAATATTAAAAATTGCAAAATAAACACAATCGAATTATTCAGTCAAAGTGGATTCGGATTAAATTCGTGATAAGTATAGCTTTGTATATTCAGTTAATTTTACACTAAGGAGTAGATATACGTATATATGTGAACTAGATGTTAGATCTATGTAAAGAGTATATAACAAAGTATATTTTCATGTAGTCGCGAGCGAACAGTAAAAGCGAGAATTTAAGGCAATTGACTTGCATAGTACAGTCGTATGGTCTTAGAAAAAAGAATATTTTACTATTGTATATCATCACTTTATAGTTCCATTTCCTTTTGTATTTTAATATCTTTTATTATAAAATATTCATATATATAAATATTTTGTAATAATTATGTTCTTCATAAATATTCCTTTTGAACATATTGTTTTAAAGTAATAAACAAAATTTTATATTATTTTGAAATTCAATTTTATAAAAATTCTATTCTTAAAAATAATTCAAGAAATTCAATTTTATATTCAATATTTCAAAATATATAATTCTTTTCAATCGAGATCACATTTGTAATCATATGTAATTTTCGAATTTTATAATTTCAAATTTTCGATCGAATGAAATTTTCAACAAAGAATTAATGGAAAAAATATGTTTGAAAAATCATTTTCAAACAATGATTGAAAATAATTTCATAATTTATTATTATAATATTGTACTTTTACGAAAACGTGAAATGTAAATTGAATATATTTGTAAACGAGACTTATGTTAGTGAAACAAAAAGCAAAATCGTTTGACAGATTAGTAGTTCCCCTTTAACTTAGTACGCCCTGCAAGTAAAGTGAAGAAAAAATATTTTGCAAATAATTGAAAAGAAACAGTAATTCAAAGATTATTCTGCAATTTCATTAAGTAAAATCACTATTTTAGCTAATTGGTAATATTCAATATAATAAACTATAACTGGTGTCAATCATCTGGAAAAAAATTTAAGGTAACGTGAAATACGTGAATAATATTTAAACAAAAGTAAATTCTATTGTATTTCAGACATTTGAGGTAATTATTTAATAGATTTCTTGAAATGAACTTTAATAAAATATTAAACCATTGACAAATATAAAATGAAAAAGTATACAAATATGATGTAGTAAAGATATATGTAATTTTACTTTATTTCACTAAAAGTCAAATGAATATAAGAATGCAGGATATTAAGTGACAAGTTAAAAATTATTACGTTAGGCCTTCATATTCTCATCGTACTTAAAAATATATACACAGCGCTTTATATAAACGATTCCTTTATATCGCTTTAATGTGACTACAATCCCTCATGGGGATTTTTTAATTTAATTATGTTTTCGAAAACATATAAAATAATAATTTGAAAATCATTAAAAGGCTATAATGTTTATATGTTTTTGTTTGATTGCAAATTTGTCGGTACTTCAAATAGAAAAAATAAAATAAAGAATAGACATTAAAAACAGAATTAAAATGGATATGAAATTAAAAAATTTTTTAAGTAAAAAAACGATAACTATAAATTATACTGAAAATTTAATAATTACAATTATTATAATTAGTAAATATACTGGTCTTATATTCAAATAGAAGTTATGTCCAATTGTCCAATTATTCTATGATTGCTTTGTCCCGCTATGGTTGCTTTGTCTCACATGTTGATTGATACTCAAAATTTCTGTTATAATTTTATGCTTACTAACAATTTCCTCTTTTTTAATACATTTCTTCTAATTAATTTTTTTCGTAATTTTGTTTATTTTTTTTCGTAATTTATTAGTACTTATCCATTTCTCTGTAACAGTAAGAGAAATTTATAAAAATTATTTTGTTAAACATTTATCGTAAATTATTTATGTATTTGCATAGAATAAATAAATACTCATATTATTATATATGATAATATTAAAATTGCTGTTTTTCGATTAATCTTTTCCTATTTTATTCGACATAAATCTCAGTTTTGGTAAGATCTTTCTTTCACAAAAACTTCACAACACAAACAACACTTTTCATACATGAGTAATATTAATTTATGAATCTACGACTCTATCCATGAATTTTCTTCATTGATCAAACTGGTCAAAATACTGACTATTCTGATGATTTCGTACAACCGAAGAAATAGTATATATAGTATACTATTTCTTGCAAGGATTTTTTGTTCTAACTTTTTGAGGCATGGTAGTATGAAAAAGGTAACTTTTTTAGTGCTTAGATCTACATAGTGTAATATTTTTGTAATTTTATAGTTGTAATATTTTTATAAACGAAAATATTTTTGTGTATATAGAATCATTTCTTGTCTCAAAATCCTATGCTTCCTGTGCAATATTTGATTCATAATTCACTAATATTATTCATAATTCACTAATAATATTCAATACCATTACAAAGAGAAGTAGAGTTCATACGATCATTCAGACGATCAATACATCTTTTGTTGAAAACGTGCGAATTTTTCTTAAGAAATTGTTTTCGAACATTTTGACAAAAATCTCTGAAAAAAATTATTAATTCGCGTGCAACCACTTGCATAAGAATTAATTTATTTAATTGTTTTGACATATTTGTCAAAATATTAGTTTATCAAAAAAATCTAATACAAAATGTTTTGCATCGAACGATTAACAACTGATTGATTATTAACATTTTATGTGTATCTTAAGAATGAACAAGAATGTTCTTTGACATAATATTAAAACAAAATCAAGGATAATATTAAGATTATTCAAACAAAGATGAAGCTGAACATGAAACATATAATATTAAAATTATTTCTCTATACAAGAGAAATACACGGTATAATTCTGAATGGCATTTTCTGAATTCTGTTCCTTTCATTCTTTTCATCATCAAATAGCAGAAGCATTTTTTATGCAATAATTAAACGATATTAATTAATTAAAATATTATAGTACATATCAAGCTTGAATGTAAAATTGAATTTTACTAATTATTACTATTATCATGATATGTCCTACATTTCTTCCGAAATCGTGTACTAGTAAAAACTAATAACGTCTATAATAAATAATGGTGCATTTGTTTTTCAGGTTGTGAAAATGATGATTGTGGTGGTAGTAATATTTGCAGTATGCTGGCTACCTTTCCACGTGTACTTCATCATAACATCATATTTCCCGGAAATTACGAACGAACCATATATACAAGAAGTTTTTCTAGGTATTTACTGGCTCGCAATGTCTAACAGCATGTACAATCCCATAATCTACTGCTGGATGAATTCCAGGTAAAATAGTACTTTAAACAGCACGTAAGTACCTTTAAGTAAGTTTCACGTTAAGGCACCTTTAAAGAATGTATTTCAAAGATCATCATTGCTTGATCAATTAACGTATAAATAAAGTTTTAAAAATAATTAAAAATTTTTCAAATATAAGTATATCGTAATTATAGTATTAAAAGGCTTGTTTCTCCTTTGAAAAACTTTTGATAAAACAGTAGGAAACTTTCCTCATTATAGGTATAACAATTTTATGATTATGAAAATATTAGATAAAAATAAATAACAGAAAAATTAAAAAAGATTTATGAAATATTAATTATTACCCAATTATTAATTATATTAACTATTAATACGCTAAAATTATCAGTTATATTTTATAATTGATAACAATTATGCAACATACTTCAAACACTTACTTTACTTCATACATTGTAAAAGAATACATCGAAAATATCCAATCATGTATCAAATACGGTTGTTTCTTAGAATATGTTGTAATTCGATTTGAATTAGGCTCGTAATTTAATTAATAGTAATTACAACATAATGCGTTATATCTCGTACGTTTCAATTGCAGCTTCTGTAATTTGAAATAATTCAGCATAATATTGTTTATTCAGAATTTAATTAATAAAACTTTTCAATTAATAACAATTACACTCTTATTGATTACAAGAGTGCCATTGTCACCATTACGTAAATCTATACATATTCGAATTAAAATGGCTCTTAAAGCTAGAGTTTATCCTTATTCTCATTTATATTTGAACTTTTCGCCTTTAAACACTCTGCTTTATCTACAATCAATGTCATTGTCAACAATAATGATAATAATAAATTTACTTACATACAGTGTCTAAATCTTTATCAAAAAGTTCTAGTACAATGATGTATATAATAATGTATAAACAAAAATTTTAATCATGATATGTTCAATTATACATTATTAAAATTATTTGTATCAAAAAACCATATAAATTGCCAAAGACAAATGCAGATAACATTATTCGACCCACCAACTGAATGGAACGAATACCAGATGATTGATTTGAGAACAGCCATTTACCAGAATTCCTTTACATGTCATACACAGGAGTTGTGTTTCGTCAAAAATTTTACCGCCAGTACCAATATCTGTTAATATCAGCATCGTCGTTTCGTATATAAAACAACTAAAATACTATTGTCTGTAACGAACATTTTCGTCACAACAGACCAATAGTTCTCGATTAACACTCATATATTGAACATATATCTATACGTCGAGAGAAAAGGAAATAAAATATAACCCGCGATTCTTCAATTCTTTTCCAAAAAAGTATTGCTCGTGTTTGAAATGTGTACTCGGTGATATTTTCCTTAAAGTGCTCACTTTAATTAAATCGCTTTTCTATTCAATTTCTCACGAATCTTTTAATGAAAAAGAAAAAATTAAACGAGATCTGTAAAGTGAGTCCGTTTGCACAACTATTTAATTAATGATAATCATTTGATTTTGCAGATTTCGACGAGGATTTGCTCACTTTTTCTCCTGGTGTCCAATGGTACATGTTCCTGTGGAGTCCACCTTATCGCGATCCGAAGCATTAACGTCTCGATACAGTTGCACCGGAAGTCCTCAAACTAACATCAGGATATCACGGAACGGTACGTCCTCGTGCACACCCTCGGAACGTTCTTGCACCACATCGTCCACGACATCCACGAGCGAGTCACGCTTCGAACACGACAACGCCCACACGGATGCACAAAATTCTTATATAGATTTGCACGACTTCACCGCAACAAGCGTCGTCGTTGATGAAACCAATGCCATGAACCGCGAAACGTAATAACGAAATGCAACAGACCTAGTGTTTCTCTCTCTCTCTCTCTCTCTCTCTCTCTTCTCTTTCTTCTCTCTTTTGGATATATTTAGAATCGCAAAGAAAATCTTTATGAGTATCCGATTCAACTTTTTCCATATTTACAAAATTTAAAACTTTACAATTTAAAAAATAATTACTATATTTCAGGGTCTAAAATATCAATTTTAAATATTTATGATTAGATTCATGTTCATGTTTACGTTATAAATTTTTCAGAAGAAAATTTTCATTACTAGAAGTATGCGAAATATTGAAAATATCGGGAATGCTCGAGGCCCGGGTTCCAATTAATTTGAAATTGTCAGGATCTTAAGAATTTTGGAAACACGAATGACATTTCGGGATTACACTCGTCCACAAAATTAAAAAATCATAAAAGTTTAGTTGACTGCTGCAATATTGTGAAAAAAGATTATATATCAACTTTCATCAGGAATTATTGTAAAAGGAACTCTTCCGTCTAAAAATTCATTGTAAAATGAACGCCAAAAAGATTTTGTAAACTTTGTAAAGTCATTTCAATTTGCAACACTTTACAAAACACAAGACCTTCAATTCTTCTCTCTGTTTTCTAATATATGTATACACCCAAAATGTTCGCGGAATTTATTTATAAAAATTACTCATGTAATTATTCATCCAAATTTACAATGTCACCTTCAAAGTACCCCTCTCCTGAATGTATGCACATATTTCAGCGACTTTTTCATTGGGCGAAACGTGTTGCTGAAACAAAATTGAAACAAAGTCAATTTGAACTGAAAAGCTGCAGTACTGTTTCGCCCAATGGAAAAGTTGCTAGAATAACTACATACGTTCAAGAGGAGCGTACTTTGAAGGTGACATCGCAAATTTGAATGAATAATTACGTAAGTAAAATTTTTATAAATAACTTTTTATACTGCAATAACTAACTACGTACATACATGTGAAGCTCAAAGACTGAAAACGCTTAATAAACGAGAAAACGATCAAAACGCATTAAACCTTTAAAGAACTTCAAAGCTTCTTTATTGACCACAACGCCTCATGGCATTTTCATAATGCTATTACTTTTTGCGGCACGACCTGATAAAATTGCGGGCAAATTTCAATCTGCTGGAATGTTCACGATTTTATTATTTCTGACGCAATCACACTTTGACACATCTCAATAATTAATATAAGAGAAAAGAACTTGTACATGTACATGTACATATGTACATATGTGCAAAATGTCTCATTAAACTTGAAAACCGAGCTTAAAAAATAACTAAAACGTGTTTCTAGATGAATAACCGCAACGCGAAATTTTGCATTCTAACAAACCTAAATATGTAATTAGAAATTACTCGAACATAACTCCAAAATAAATCAAATTTAATTCTAATTTAATTAAAAATAAGTTTGGGTTGGGTTAGATATTTTATGGAATAAAGATTCTGTCCTTTCCCTATCCATGCTTCTATTTATTTTGTAATATACGTGTTAAGTTCAGAGCAACCGGAATTGAAATTCTGTGTTATAACTATTTTTCTAAATATATAATGCATTTTGATCGTTTTTTTTTTTTCACTCATGGGGCGTTTTGAACTTAATGATCGTAAAAGGAATTAATTATAACGCATTATGAAAGTGTCATGTGTTATGGTAAATTCTAACAAGAAATTTTGTTAGAGCGCGTTCATTTCTCGCGGATATTTCTCTAAGACCAATTGCGATTTTTGAAGCTAACATATGTATGTACATGTAAAAGCATGTTTGAAAGACTTCAGTTCATAGATATTAAAGTAAAATAATCTGAGATAAACTATTTTTTCTGAGATTATTATTTTTTTCACGAAATTATAACAGTTTAAATATCGACCATTTCTTTTATTAATTTTATTAATTTTTAAATTTTTTTATTTCATTAACTTAAATAATTTTAAAAAGCTCTTTAATTTTATAAACGAATGTAGTTTTGAAATGTCACTCAATATTTGCGAGAGATTTTGAAAATTTCCTGAAATTTTCGGAAATCACAACTTTTTCCCGGAATCTCGAATTATAAAATACTTTCGTTACTAATTTAACCTGATTATGAGATAAATATTTGACTGCAGTCGATGCATAAATCTACAAATTATTTTTCTTTATAAATATATTATCATGTGTACATATATTAACCCTCGCGGCTATGATACAATCATTTAAAATCGAAGCATTAAATTAAAAAATGCATTTTTTATCATTCCACGCGTTACATTATATTATGTTGGGAAAAGGAAAAACCTGTAAAATATAAAATTAAATTTTCCATAATAATTTCCAAGTAGAATTATGCTTTTTGTATACTATAAATAGTTTTTATCGTATAGTTTTCATGATTTTCTCATAGTTTTATAAATTTATAATTTTTATTACGTCCAACAGCCCTTAAAATTTTAATTCTCCGAAATTTGATCACTTCTTAATGATTTTATAATTTTTATTTTGTACTTTCTATTTGTAATAATGATAAAAAAATAATTATATATAAAAATGAATAAACCTATTTTAAAATTCGTAAATATATTATAATTTTTTCTCTTCCTGTCTGTATGCGACTCTGAAATTAATATAAGTGGAAATAGCACAATTATTGTCATTTGCAGTCTGCCGTTCGAGGGTTAATAAAGTACTAGTAATATATACGGTAATTCATATATTCGGAAAAATTCATATAAATATTAAAACTATTATAATTTTGTGAAAAAAAAATTGTACAATAATAAACTTAGCTAAACCTGGACTTGAAGCTTGGAAATGTATCATTCATTCTATTCTAAAATATTTTTACATCATACAGCGAATGGGTAGGCGAAGATACGTTTCTTCTTGAAAATGCTGTAAATTATCATAGTAAAAACATTAAAAAATTTCTGATCTGTGACTGAATCTATAATGGATTTGAAAATTGAACAACTTCACGAAACTTGATGTATGATTCTTTTTTCATCATTTCATTGAACTTTGAATATTTATTGAAATTTGATAACAGAAATTCAAGAATCGTTTTTTGTCGTTATATTTGTTTTCATTCGATATTCAAACTTTCTCAATCGAGAAAGAAAATCTAAGTTAGGGGTCAAAATCATTATAAAGGAGAGAGGCTTTTATCTTCAAATCGATTGTAGATTAAATCAAGAAAAAAAATTTCAATATTTTTACATACTATGACAATTTATAGCGTTTTTGATAAGATAAGTTATATTAACATCCTAGAATAAAATGACGATATATTTTGAAAATAGAGGTTTCAAATTTTAAAATATACCTAGGTTTGTTGTACAATCTTTTTTACGAAATTATAACTGTTTAAATATGTAGTGTCTGAATGCGAATCACTGTATATTACTGGTATAGCAATGAAATGTGCATATATTTGTATAATTCACATTCGAATTACGAGCAATTGTCCAACCATTATGACGAATATCAACAATTTTTAACTGCTTTGTATTAAGCAATTAAAGTAAAATTATTTCAATATCTCAATATATAATATAATATATGACATGTTACATACATTTATACATTTTAGGCCCTGGCATTTCATCAAACGATTCATTAGAAAAATTCATGCAAATAGAATACGGGAGCTTGAAGTTTTTTCATATATATAATATTTATCTTATTATTATATGTTTATCTTAAAGTGAAAAAATATATTAAAATGAAGTTAATTATATAAAAGTTTATTTAAATATAAGTTGTAATGTAATGTCGTAACAACAAATTTTATAAAAACAATTGTTCTTCTCATAACTTGCAACAACTTTACCGTTATTATTTATTATTTAAAATTTTTATTATTGTATTATTATTACATAATTATAAAAAATAACAAAAGAATCAATAAAAATGAAATATCATATTATTAAAAAAAATATATAATACAAATAACGATAACTTCGATCTCCCGTAAACTAAAAATCAATTTTTACGCATATGCTTGTACATTAATCCATTAAGAACCAACCAGTAAAATAATTCCATAGAATTGCATAAATGCAACATTGAAAAATGAATAAAACATATAATATTATTTGATTAATGTACAAAAAATGTATTATGTTTAATTTTCATAATACCAAAACTAAATCCTTAAAATTCTCTTTTACAATCGGAAATTTGGAAAATTAAAATTTAGAATGAAATGTTGCACTTATTAATTGAATGAAATAGAATCAGAATGCAATAAAAATCGATTCAAATACAAGAATCGATATATCGATGCAAACAAGATATGTTTCTAATCTCAATAGGCACATCACGAATACCTTTGTACCTACAATCTTCGAGAGGAGGAAAAGATCGGTTTTTGACTCAACACAGAGGGAGAAAGTGGAAAACTTCGAACACTATGGACCATGTATCTTGACAAGAGGAAGAAGACCCTCAACAACGAGTACACACCTGGATATAAGACTACATATCCTAAGCGCGCAGCCAACTTCTTCAAAATTTATCTGATGCAAATGAAATGAAAAAGGAACGAAATGTCGATTCCCTTTTACTATGCAACAACCAAAACAAAAGCTCAAGTATTCACTTTGTTCAATACAAACGCTACCTGCTAAATATTAAATAATATTTTCGTCTTGGTGTAAAGCATGAATGTCCAACCTTTTAGATCTTCTGGGTCTCATTGGCCAACAAAAATTTGTTGAGTGCCGCAAATAGTTTACGAATTTTTTCATTAGTTAAATGTAACTTTTTGTGAGAATATTAAAACAACTTTTATAGTAAAACACTACATTGATTAGAAAAACATATTTATATTAATTAAAAAAGTATGAAAATTTTTAATAAGAACACTGAGCTTGTTTTTTAGATAAATTTATCAATATTTGGTTTGATGAACAGGTAGTGGCAATACGAAGAAAGTACTTTGAATATTTTCAAAATGCTCGTCTAAAATTTTTATTCTTATTTTATTTTTTGTGTGCTTCATATGGCAAAAAACATTCATTATGTTCGCAAATATAAGTACTGCCCAAAAAGAGCATCATGAAAATTCATGATTAAAATTATTCAAATAATAAAATTCTTATTCAATTATTCCAATTTTGGTTATAATGGATAGGTCTAAGGGCCACATACAGAGCGCGGGTTGGACATGCCTGGTGTAAAGTAAATCTAGATCAACAAAAAACAGTATTTTTCCCTATTGATAGATATTACACATAAGTTTTTGGTAATTATTTACTTTAAAAATTTCTTCACTTTCAATCTTCACTTTGAAATATGTTATCAAAATCATTATTCTGAACTTTTCTTTATATACATTATATTACCGTTGCTTAGTCTTAGTTTTCGATATATTTACAAAAATGTAATTTAATTATGCTTTTTACAGGATAAACTTCATCGATTTCAATGATCTTTGAATTTGTTATAAGATATTCGAGTTATTTAGAATTTCGACTTTTTTACCGATTTCAATGACTTTAAAATACGTTGTCAAGAATATTTTCCTGGATTCCTCAGACTACTTATTTATTAAAAATCTTTCATTTCTATGGATTATTTCAATATAATGATAAAAGTCAATCGGTGATTTATCTATATCCCAAATCGATGATTTATCTGATATCTCCCAATAAATACTCTTTGAAAAGAACTGATTATTTTTTAAAATGAGTATTTAAGCAAGATTCTTTAAATAGATCGCCGTAAAGTAACAGACAACCCTACCAGTCAGATGCACATACATGTAAAAATATTTTCAATATTACATATTCTATGTTAAATAAATTATGTTTGGTTTAGATTATATTAAATAATTATATTAAATCATAAGGTGACCAATATTTTTGAAATTCCTTGTTTTGATTTATATTACATTATTGAGTAACATTATTTTGAACTATTAATAGAAATTTCAGCAATTACATTATTCAAAAATGCAATTATTCTTATACTGAAATCGTGTTGCCTTCGAAAAATTCAGCTATGTAATCAACATAATGTTCTTTTCAGTTTCCATATTATAGGATAGTTCATGCCATGATAATTTCATTTTATAACACGAAATACTTTATTTCAATGAATTGAATGAACACTAATACTAATGCTTTAATAAGTGATGTAGTAAAAAATGAAAATAAATATGAATATAAAACCAGAACAGACTCATGAAATATGGCTGTTCATAAACATCCATATATAGTGAAAAGTTGTTCATGATAATGACCTTAATATTATATATTATAACATCATTAAAGTCGATAAGACGATTCTTATAATAAATAATGACCAAGTTTTCATTATATGTATATACTCGAACTTTAATCATTGCATTTAATTGTATATCAAATAAGAAGTTTGATTTATGGTACTTTTGGATTATTGTGCGATATAAAAGATTAGAAAGCTAGTTTTATTATTATTTTATTAAATTCTATATTTTAAACCTGTTGTTTAGTATACGCATATATAAACAGCAACGGACCAATAATCTACTTAGTTATTTGCATTTGTTAATAAATATTTTCATTTTCTAATAGGAAAAGATCGAATAGCTATGAAAAATTTCTAATGAGAATATAGATTATGATATAGTTAATGTGTGATATTTGTTTGTAAAACATAAAATAATTGATCTTCGTGTTCTTATTGTATATCGATATCTTCAGCGAGAAATCAAATAGCAAAAAATACCCGTTAATTTTTATTGAAGGAAAATATTCTATTTCATTCTAGTCATAGATTCTTGAAAAATGAATTCTTAATAAAATTTTGCTATGTATAGATCTGTACCTCATAAATATTTATTAAAAAAATATAAATAAAATACATTTGCAATTTCCTTCACAACTATTATTGTTCTGAAAAAGAATGGAAACATTGTGATCGATAGAAGAAACGATAAATATAAAATTTCGTAATTTATATATCTTATATAATTTTAAAAAATTATTACGAACAAACATTTTCGTTATAAAAACGCACAAATGTATTTATGAATAAAATAACCATCAGTACAATCTGCATATTTTTATTGGAAATATTTAAGTTTAAAATATGTAATTATTTAATTATCTTAATTATTCATTGTTTGTCGCATTTATTTTTCATTAAATCAATATAATATAAACAATTAATAATCCGTTAAATGTTTTGAAAAAATTAGTCACTTATGTTACGATTGTTTATAAAAATATTTTTAGTTTTCTAATGTGTACAGTATTTGAATATAAAAACTTTTTTTGGCAATGTTATTTTTCCTAATTACAAACTTTGTGTAATAAAGAAGTAAATTTTAAATATTTTTCTATATATTTAAAATTATAACATATTTCTATATATTTAAAATTATAAACTAAAAGCATACTAGTTAAATTTATTTTTTAATTTATATTATTCAGATTTTCAACTATAACACAATACGAAAAAAAATACTCTGGGGAAAATAAACGCTTTTTATTACACTAGTAAAATATATATTATTATATCGAATGTACTGGGAAGCTTATCGGTAAAATAAAATGTGAATATACTATTCGATATACATATATAAAATATGTAAATATTCATGAAGCTACTATTTCTGTCTATAGAAAAGTGATTGTACTTTCAATATGAGTAAACACTATAGAAATTAAAAGAAAGAAAGGAAAATATAATTTTAAATTATTAGTTGTTACATCTGTATACTAGATACTGTTTCAAATTAGTTGTTACATCTGTATACTTCTGATCCGATTATTGATACGGTTTATTTTACTTGACATCTAAATATTTAGTAAAGATAGTAAGTATGTACTATGTTTATTAACTAACTAAAAAAAATCATTCAATTGTTGCTTATTTATTAAAGTACGCTGATGCCAAAACAGCAATAATTTAATATTTTCAAAAGTACTGGTTGTCATTTTAAATGTGTGTAGAACTGAAATGATGAATGATAATTTGTCATTGAAAGTCAAAGTCAAAAAGCGTGAAATAAATAACGGTATGTGTAATCATTCTACAATTTTTGCTACAGCGTTTACTAAACTTAGAGCAGTGTTATACTCACTACATCGGAAGAATTTAATGTACATCGTCAAACTGTACAATTTCCAATGTAAACTCTCAAAAAATTGGTAAATGTGGACGAAAAAGAAAAAATCTTTTTTAAAATTTGAAAAAAATTAAAAATATTTTCTTGAATCAAAGAGTCACTTAAAAGGATCATATATCCCATAAATGTGCCCAAATTAACCTTTCATAGAATCTTCAAGAAAAAAGAGTTTAGATATTTTTTTCTCCATAAAACCATTTCTTACTGAAGAAAATAAACTGGAAAGATTGCACATGTACAAAGAAAAACTCAGATGTAAAAATTGTCACCATATAGTATTATGTGTAAACCTGAGGCTATAATTAATGCTAAAAACTATTTAAATATTATTTAAGATTAAATTATTGTTAAAAATTTTCTTTTAAGTAAAGAAATTTCCAATTTTCGCCAAATTTTGTTTATATTTTATTTTTTTACATATGTGACAACTACTCCGGTCACAGAATACACATTTACACATCAAATGGGACAACTAATTTGGGATGGAGGGATTTAGATACTAAATTGTAGTGAGGCATTTTTGACAATATAATTTTAATTTTAAATTATCCAAATATTTGTTCCAAAATACAACAAGAATGATTTGAAGAAAACGATATAAATTAATTTGCTCAATGCATATTTCTACAAGTACAATGTGTACAATTTGTATTAGAGAGATTAAAGTATAAGGATGAAAAAAGAATTTAATACAATGAAGAAAAATTGTTTAAATTTCTAGTATTATATATAGTTGTAAATCTATAAACTTTATATGAAAAATTACAAATCAATCGTTTCGATCATTCTAGTTTTGATTATAGCGTTAAAAAATAAAAATCAAATAAGAAAGAGTAATATAGGAATAATATAAGAAAAATATACAACTTATTTGTCCTTTCAAATGTGTAAAATATAAATACTTACTTTACAAAAATAATATTCGTACTTTATGTTAATGAATAGATACATAATTTGTTATAAAATATAGTTATTTAAGTAAATTATAGTTTGTAAAAAATAAAAAATAGCGAATTGAGTTGATATGTTTGAGAATATACACAAATAATGTCAATTAATATCGAATATTTATTTCTATCGAATATTATTAAAATCATACGAGCGACGTAATAAATTTAAATTATTGTGTGAGGATTGTGTAACGTCATCCAAAAAGGTAATGTATAAGTAATGTTTCTAAATAGTCCCTATGCGACTTCAATCCTTGTTCATTAAGACACAAAAAAGGTAATATGTGTGAAAATTATAATCAAAAGAACCGCAAGAAATCAAGAAATCCCAGATATCAACATTAATGGATCAGTTATATCTGTCTTATAATTAAAATATTCCTAGATACACTCTCAGGTTCATATCAGTAATTAAAAAATTTAATTCCTTTAGATGCGAAAATGATCATTGGATATATATGTAACAATTTGTAACTTCTAAGGTTGCAAATTTGGTTTACTAATGCTATATCAATTTTCTAAATGATCAGTGTTACGACAAGCCAGAACAATCAGAAAATATTTATTTATCTATACCATACTCGTGAACCCTTACAATCTTGTACATTACAAAAAATAAAATAAAGAAAAAATATTAAAAAGCAGTAATAAAATACATATTTTAATAACACTAATTTAGCAATATTTCGCGGTATAAATTATTAAATAACTATTCACATAGCTAATTATTAAACTGACGCCACAAATACAAGAAAATTAGGGAAAAAAATTTCAATAATTTTAATAATTTTTCACAACTAATTTTTTTCACAAACAATATTTTACATATTAGTGGATTATATTTCAGTTTAACTTGTACAATTTGTTAACAAATTATATCTAATGTATCTAATATATTATTACAATTTATATAATTTATGCATTAACTCATAAATTTATTCATGTAAAGATTACAAAATTCTATCAAATTGCTTAATTTATAATATTCTTTTTCTCATCGATATAGTTTTCTTTGTCAAACTTACTATACTCAAATGTTAACGGAAACATTCTATCGGTATATAGTAAACCCTGCAAAAATAAATAATTGTATATTAATTAATAATATTTACGGTCGTATTTACATTTTCTTAATTTAATAAATTAAAAATTATATATTATGGACTTATTCCTAGATAAGTAAAACTACAATTTGTTCTCGATAAATGTTTTCAGAAGTTAGGTTCGATCACGCTATCAATCCGTTCATAGTTTATTCACGCTCTAGATCCGATTAATTATTCTATTATTTAAATTGTGTGTAACGTTCGATTTCAGTTCAATCACGTTTTGGCAATGATTTCTCGATTTTAATATGATAAATTTTTTAATTTTTAGGTAAAATGCTTATCGAATTAGTGAAAGCTGAAGGTTTGTGTAATTTACCATTCACCATTCTATAATAATAATTATAAAGAATTTGAAAACAGATTGCAAGAATATAATTACTTCAAGCGTGAAACGTGAGCGAATAGAGAGCGGATCGATAGGACACATGTAGGGGCTTAACCTCACCATTTTCCTTAATGAGTCACTTTCGATCCTTTAATCAAACTCAAATCCGATTTTAATTAAGATACTATCATAAATCTCATTTGATAATACCAATTTTCACTACTTTATTCTAACTTTATTTACAATTGGAAATATATATCAACATAGAAAACATATGTTATATATTATAGAATACAACATGTAACGTAGATTATTCTGATAATTTAGTTAAACTTTTTACACTTCGAGAAAAAATATAAATGTTTTATTTTAAACAAAAAGAAAAGAATATATTACTAGTGTTAAGTTATTCCAATTGTATAATTATTTAATTACATCTATTCACTGATAAAAAAACAAATAACTAATTAATTCTATAATCATTATAAGATTCATTCAAAAATATACAATAATGAAAAGAAAAAATTAGTAAAAAATTTAATACAAATAAATTTGTAATTTAAGAATTGCAATTAAATTAAATATTAGATTTAACTAGTTATAGAAAAATCATTAATTTCTAAATTCTTACGAAAGAAAACAATAATTCAAGTATACAAAATTGAAAACATGTCATTTCATTTTAAACAATAAGTAAACTAACAAGAGAAAAAAAGAACTTACTTTTAAATGATCCATTTCATGATGAGCTATCCTAGCTAACCAACCTTCTGCTTTCCAACAAAATGGTTTTCCAAATCGATCAAGTGCTTTGATTTGAATTTCTTTTGGTCTCGGTACTTCTGCATGAAAATGATCGACACTTCCGCATGTTTCATGAAATATAAGTTCTTCAGAATTTATTATCTCCATTTCTGGATTGATAAAATATGTCAACGGCTGAGGTTTGATTTGACAATATGATCGTATGCCTGGATGAACATCTTCCACAGTTTCTTCCGTTACTTCTATAGCAAATACTTGCCAAGATAAACCGATTTGTGGGGCTGCTAATCCTACTGTGTCAGATATCTTCAGTATTTTATATAAATGATCAAGTGTCTATAACAAATAAATACATGCATATTTTCATGATCAAATGAATTACAACATTAGAAAAAAATTTATTATATTATATAAAACTTTCAAAATAATTTCTCTATGGAAGTTTAGTACTTAGGACTGAGTGTGTGCTACGTCGAAAAAAAGTTTATTACTAGAAAAACTGATCGACGAATGAATCGAGGTGTCGAAATTTTTTCATTCAAAAGTTATGATCACTTTTGTCATAGACTTAACTTGTAGGAAAAAAAAAAATAACAATATAATTACCCTTTTTAACTATAAATTAGTTTTATTCGAATATAATTTATGAATATATCACATATAATTTATGAATTACATATATTTACACATATAATTTATGAATTACATATATTTACACATTTTTTGAATATCAGCATTGATTCGATCAGATAAATCTCCGGCCTGCAAATTATTGGTCAAATATTTTCAAAATTTCTCGATAATTCTCTATATAAATGTAGAATAGAAAGTCATATGTACATTTTAGACTATTTTAGACTATAAGATCTAGGATGTTAAAAAGTGCCCCAGAATTGCTCTTCGATAATTAACATATTTTATAACAGCATATTTAAATAAACAATCATTATGACAGCATATTTAAATAAACAATCAATCATTGATAAACAGATAATGTGAATGCTATAACAGATAAAGAGATAATGTGAATTCTACATAAATAATACAAATTTACATGAAGTTTTAGTGTAATGTGTAGTGGATGTTCTGTTTATCTCGCAAAATGTAAATATTTCGTAAGGGAAATTTATTGAAGTTATAAAAGAAATGTTCCTACAAAAGTCACCTAAACATAAAAAAGCACGTTATGTGGTATTAACGATATTTTTACGGGTGAAATTGTGAAGACTCAAAAGTCCAGTTGATATTTCAAATGGAATTACATAATTTTGAATGCAGTATTTGATTCATTTAAATGAATTTTCAATTCATTTTTCATTCTCTACAAAAAAGTATGTGAAAAACCATTGATTTAGAAGATATTTTCACTTTAATTCTGTAAAGCTTGTTCTGTAAAACTATATGAAAGACAAAGACAATATAAACATGGAAATATTGCTCATATCATTCCTTGTCTTTCATATAATAAACAACATTGAAAAGAAAATATTTCCCAAACCAATGGTTTTTTTAATGGAATAGGTTAATATTTTTTTTTATAGAGAATGCTCAAATAAATCGAATACTGCTTCCGAAATTATATGATATTATTTAAAAATATCAACTTGATTTTGAAATCTTCTCCATCATTCTATTTACAAAAATATCATTAATATCATACCAAATAATATGCCTCTTTATACCATATAACTTTTATAAAAATATTTTTTTTATAACTTCAATCCCTTACGAGAACACTCTTTATATATAATTATCATTATATGTAACATAATTATATTGCTTTCTCTATATAAGTTAAACTCGTCAAAAGAATGACCATAACGGAAGGATTTTGACATCTCTGATATTCATTCATAGATTCTTCCACTGATAAGATTTTCATTATTTAGTTGCAGTTATTCTAATAATTATTCTAATAATAAATACTAAATTGCAACAATTTTTTTTCATGTAAGCATCCTATCATAAGAAAAATAATGAAGCTATCAATAATATAATATATATATATACTCCCGTGAATTTTAACGATTGTTTTAAGTATTTTGTTTTAATATGTGTACATTATATGTAATTTATAAAATATATATACATTATATGTAACTTATAAAAAATAAAAAAAAATAATAAAAAATATAAAAAAAACGAGCAATTGGGCCCCAAAAATAAAATAAATAAAAAAATAAGAAAGTAGGAAAAAGTTTTTGCATATTAACAATAGGATATTATTATAAACAAAATCACGAATTAGAAGATATGGCATATATTACATCAATGAATTCGTCAAGAATTTATAAGTACATAGTATATTGGGAATACAACCGGCAATCTGAGGAATTATCATCATTGTTAACAAAAAAAGTCATCGTTCCTGAGGGATTAAAATTGACTTCTGCAACAGCTGCTCCGATTAACAATAATTGTGTACGCATTTTTACAAAAGCAAAAGAGACACTGTTTCTATCGCTATCACATTTTTACATTTTTATAACAATACACATATCAATCTTTATTATTGTATTAAGTTCATTAAAAATAACAAATCGGGCCTGAATTCCTTCCAAAGCATCTCGTTATCACCGGCGAAAACTACTACAATGAAGAGATAGTTGTATTAATAATGTCTGTATAGGCAGAATTCAATGTGCTGTATCAGAAGTTTTGTTAAATATTTCAGAAATAAAAAAATACCCGAAGTTAAAATTTTATATTTAAGGTTCTCTCCCTCTCTCTTCCATCCCCTCAAAATTTCACATTCGATCGGTAACTGGTATTTTTCAGAATAATATTTCTTTTTAATAATAATTTTGGTAACTGGTATTTTCCTGAATAATATTTCTTTTTAATGGTAATTTTCAATTAAAATAAGTTTGAATTAAAATATTAAATTATATCATATAAAAGTAAAACACACTGGAATGGAGCTCACTGTGTCCACATACATACTTTGCAAAGCGAAGTAAAGTTCACTCTATATCTAACTTTAATCCTACCAAATTATAATTTAAGACTGACGATCAATCTTGAAATAAAAACCAACTTAAATTGAATATAGTACGCCGTAATGAATTTTTTTTCGCCGTAGTGAACCATACAAGCTGTCTTTCTTTAATTTTAGCAGCTAAAGCTAAAATCGAGATCGATGCAATGGAAGGGATTGCTCTACCCATCAAGAAAATAAGGGCATAAGCCAATTTGCCACCTCTAGTACAGTATGATGACCTATTCATCAAAATAGAACGAAATTTTTAAAAGATATAGGAGAGAAGAGGGAATAAAAAATAAAAAATGTTAATTGCGGATCTTTATTAATTTCTGAGATATGAATAAAAAATTTTGGAATCAATAGAACGAATTTTGCTTATACAGACGTTACTAATACATACAAACAATCTTCGCTGATTAGTTAATATTATACGATTGTCATAATAGACCTTGCGGTGAATTAACAAATAATCGATGACATAATAACGATATTGTTCTTAGTATCTACACGTTAATTAATAAGACATTAATATAATAATAATTAATAAGATGTTGCACTTAAAATAATTAAAGAAAATAGCAATTAAAGAAAATAACCTAATTTAACTTCAACGAATATATACAGCGAAAACAGTTGATTAATAACGTCTGTAGGTATTAATTCAGTATATTATACCAAAAATTGATATTAGACTTTATGTAGAATACCGTATAGAATACCGACATCGTCATTATGTAAACAATTCCCTGGCATTCACATGATGACTAAATAGCATTGGCCATTACATGTATTAGTCATGTCTGTATAAACAGAATTCAATGTGTTGTACCCAATGATTTATTAATATCTCAGAAATTAATAAAGAGCCCCAATTAAAATTTTACATTCCGTTAATACGGAATAATTAAATAAAATATTACCTTATAGCTTAGATTTTCCATAGTGAATATGTATTTATTTAACATTTAGAGGTACTTTATAACTTTTAAAGGAATTACCAATTTTTTCAGAATAATATATATTAAGGCCACAATCATATATAAAAATTTCTTTCAGTACAATTACTTTTTTCAAGGTCATTCGAGTCTGATTACCCATTTTTTTTATTTTTCTCGTTAAGCAAAATAATCAAAACAAGTATTGTCAAAAAGAGTATCACACATCGAATTAATCAAGAAAGTATATTACAAATTTAATTGTATACTTGATTGATCTTTACTTTGAAAAATTAAAAATGATCGATTTTTTTGCTCAAAAGTTAAGACTCAAAATATTTTTAATATAATTATATTCAGTTCCATTCGTGTATAATCTCAACTCAAATATGATTTATAAACTACGATATGTAATATTAAAAGATAACGCTATTGATAACACAGAAATGAAACCAAAATGACAAAAAGTATACTAAAAATACATAATTTTTGAACTAGTGAATTTTAACTTAAACCATATTTTTAATACGTCGAACATTACTAAATGACAAAAAAAGCAATAATTTTTGGTCCTATGAAATAAATACTTTGCTATAATAATTTTTTTTATTAATAAATAAGCAAATAAATAAGTGAAAATTAATTTTAAATATTTAATTGATATATAAACAATGGGACAACTTATAGAAAGAACATTCTATCAACATTGACATTTTTTGAATATGTTATAGAAATCACCACTTTTTTCTTTTACAAATAATGATTTTTTTTTGTAGTTTTTGAGATATTTACAAAAAACTACCATTACTATGAATTGTACTTATAATTGTGCGTGTTGGCAGCGCATATGTTGATCTAGTGACCAACTATCTTACGGCGGCCGGATTATATAACCTAAACTTATTTTTACCTAAGCTTGCGAATGTATGCATTTCTATAGATTGTTGAATTAGCTTTTTTTACATTTTATGAAAATATCCAAAAATAAATATAAGTTAGTCAACAAAAAAATAACGACAACTTCGAGATCTCGTAAATAAATGATCATTGAAAAAAAAAATATTTCCAGTATTACATTTGTCTCTAAAAATGGTGTAACTTCTTTTCCAGAAATTTTTTTGTACAACAAAAAATAACAGAGATATTTAAATGATCCCATATTTAATTGATCTACCTAATTAGGTAAAGCGGTATACACAACAGCAAGATTGTAAAAAATGTTAGTAACTCAATTAACAACAAATATCGGATAGTTGAGTTTGGCTGTAAGTTAGAGTTTTCAATCAAGCCGCTGCGGGGCGGTCGGCGTTGCTTGCATAAAATTATTTTTCGAACAAATATATTTCAAACACTATAAACTAAGTAAAAAATTTTGTGAGAATCACTTTTGTTTTATAACATGCATTTTCCTAGGAATTGTTTATTTACATTTGTAAAGTAAATATTTATGATACAAAGAAAAAAATAACTACATCAAAGACAAATGTGTAAGACAAATGTGTTAACTATATTTGCGAATACAGATATACGCATGTAGATTCAAGATTCAAAAACTGTTAATTTTTTATAAATATATTGGAAATTAATAGAATCTTACATTTTAATGAAAGAAAAAAATTGTTCCAAATGTTGATTTCTATATATTCAAAAATATTCATATTCAAAAATCATTGATATCGCATGCATATGAGTAAAATTTAAAAACCGACAGTTTTTTTTACATATATTTCGAAAACTAAAAAAGTCTGACTTTTTTGTAAAAGAAAAAATTTGTTACAAATGTCGACTTTTACAACATATTCAAAAATTATTAAAATCAGTGAAAAAGTGATTTTTCACCGAAAAAAATAATCATTGCATTATTATAGATTTTTAGAATAGATACAACAATTATTTAAAAATATAGATAACAACGTAAGACGTACCTTTTGAAATTCTACTGTTTGAATTTCCTTCATATCAATGGGTGACGCTTTCTGTCGCAAGATAGGATTACCAACTTGACAAATGAAATCGTAAGGAGGTTTTGCAGTTTCGATTGTTTTGTCGAAATATATTGAATAAAGTTTTTTTATACTTCGAAAACTAATAAAACGAACATTACTCTTCTGTATGATCTTCGCACATCCATCAAATAAATTGGAATATTTAAACATTATAATGACTACTGTTTTTACAATATTTTCAAAATACCTCAGGATAGATAAGAGGTTATGCTACTACGATGATTGTAGATATGTTGGTACTACTATGCCCGTAATTATTCATTTCCGCAATCTGTATTAGCGGGAAAATATAATATTAATTCCCGTTAGATCTATTGCAAGTATCTCTGTTGCGTTATTCTTAAAAATTATGAAAATATATTGAGATAATAAAAAATTGGGTAACTTATATATATATATCTATTGCATAAACTTATTTACATACAATTTTATTGATCGCATTTTTTAAATTGAAATCATATGTCACAAAATATTTAAAAATATTTCTTATGTGCTATCATTCTTTGACTTTAATATTTACAGAATTTAACATATATATTATTAATTATTTATTATTATTTTAAAAATTTTATTTTATATTGATATTTTTCATATATATACTTAATTAATTAATAAGTGATATACATTATTACAACATAATAATATAATGTCTTTAAACTAATTGATATGTTAAGAAATATTTTAATGTAACTTATATTTTACATTTTTACGCTTATTATATAACGTCTCAATTGATTTGAAATACATAACTATCATTACTTCATATACGCAACAAAAAATAAGAATATCAATTAATGAAGATGTTTCATAACCTATATAATTAAATATCTTCTAATATACCAGATGTATTTGTATCATAATATTTTACATTGTTTGTACTAATATTTTGTATTTTATTATTAATTTATATAAAATAAATAAATAATTGAAATACAATAGTCAACTATAAAATAAATAGCCAAAATGGTAATCATTATTTATATATAATTATGCAATAAAATTTTGGATTTGGGATAATATGTCTATATTTTCTTTCAGATGAAAAATGGTACATCGAAACTAAATTGCTTAAGTGGTAATTTATTTAGTGTCCTCAGGTATTTATCAGCACAAGCTTCAAGTACAGGTAAGGACAAGGATTTAAAGTTTAACAATCAAATTCCAAAACCTATTATATTACCACCTGAAACAACGCCATCAACACCATATCCAAACCCCATAGTAGAAATACCAGGTTTCAAAAACAAATCTATTTTAAGTATATAATTATAATATTATTAAGTTCTAATAAAAATTTGATTGTCAGAATTTATACAGTTAAAAATAAGATAAATATATGAATTAAATGTTAATAATAAATTAACTTACGAATTACATATTTTTAAAAGAATTACAATTATATGAACTTGTACATTTTTACAATTTAGGACCTATTGTTGAACCTACACTTCCTCAACCTCAACCTCAACCTCAACCTCACTCAGATCCTAAACCACCTATTGAAATTCCAATACCTAATAAAAACACAATTACAGGCAATGAAGTACAAGCTATTAGACAAGATGATGTCTTGTTTAAAGACGTACGTATACTTATAGTAAATAATATATATGTATGTAAATAATATATATGTATTAAATATTTATAAGTATTTCTTTTTTTAAATAAGATAGGGGATAAAGGTATTATTATATTAAATCGCCCTAAAGCACTGAATGCTCTAAATTTGTCAATGGTTGAAAAAATATATCCAGTACTCAAGAAATGGGAATCATCTAAAAGATTAGTAATAATAGAAGGTACAGGAGAAAAAGCGTTTTGTGCAGGTGGTGATGTAAAATCTATTGTTAATACATTAAAAGAAACTGAAAATAAAACCTTAGGTGAAACATTTTTCAGAAAGGAATATGCGTAAGTTACAAAATAATTTAAATAACACATTTTCATACCAATGCTTTAATAATGAAATTTTTGACATATATTGAATACAGTTTAAATTACCTCATTGGTACATATAAAATACCATATGTGGCTATAATAAATGGAATAACTATGGGAGGTGGTGTTGGATTATCTGTTCATGGTAAATATCGGATTGCAACAGAAAAAACATTGTTTGCAATGCCAGAAACAGCAATTGGATTATTTCCTGATGTTGGTGGAACTTATTTTTTACCTAGATTGAAGGATAAATTAGGTCTTTACCTTGGATTAACTGGAGATCGTTTAAAAGGTAGTAAAAAAATTACTGAATTTAATAATTTGTATATTAAGTGCTTTTTCACATATATCATGTTGAAAGGCATGGACGTACTACTTGCTGGTGTTGCAACACATTTTGTTCCTTCTGAAAAGTTACCAAATTTAAAGCAAGATTTACTAATGACTGAACAATCTGATGTTGCGGAAATCTTAAACAAATATCAATCTGTAACATGGAATGAAGAATTCTGTTTAGCACCGTATATGAATAAAATTAATACATATTTTTCTTCATTATCTGTAGAAGAAACAATAGAGAGGTAAAGATTATAACAATAATTAGACTACATAGAATTTAAAAATATTATTTTTATATATATGCTATAATATTATTATATATATGCTATATTTTAATGAAGCCTAAAAAAGGATAATTCAGAATGGGCAAAAAAAACATTGAAAATGTTATTAAAAGCATCTCCCACATCTCTAAAAGTTACGATGTTCGCTATTCAAAAAGGAAGTATATTAAATTTAGCAGACTGTTTAAAAATGGAATATAGATTAGCATGTGCTGCTTTAAACAAAACAAGCGATTTTTGTGAAGGTGTGCATATTTATCCTTTTATTTAAAGCAATTTTATTTCATGCAAATATGTTATAAAGTTATTATTATCATTGTTGTCACTACCACAGGTGTAAGAGCTCTTTTAATTGATAAAGATCAAAAACCAATATGGAATCCTAACAGTCTAGAAGAAGTAACAGATACTTATGTAAATCAACAATTTGCAAAACTTTTAGAAGAAAAAGAATTGCAACTTTAAAGTTAATTACAATATTAAGATATTAAAATAATGCAACAAATGGAGATAATATACAATACAAAACAGCATACTTTATAAAAAAATAATAAACAAAATGTAAGTCAGTATATCGTGTTAAGACATTATAATTTTATTTTCAAAATTTTTTACTTTATTTTAACAAATTTATACAAACATTTATATAATTTTTATATAGTTAAGGAAGAGTTATGATATTTTACAAGAAATTAATATTTCAGAAATTTATTATTATACTTATTATCAATGTATTGATAATTTTATAATAAAATATACGTGTTTTTAATCTTTTTCTTAAGTAGGTCTTGTATTTTATTAAAAAAAAAAAAAAAAAAAAAAAATTAAAAAGGAAAATGATTTGAGAATGAAGAAATAACAATATATTAAACAAGTATATTTTCACTTTATTTATATCCTTACTATTGAAGTAAAACAGAAAAACCAAACCAAATACATTTATCGTACCTTTTTAATTTTCAAAAATACTTAAAATATTCTTGATGTAATTAAAACATTTACATTATAAAAAATAATTTTGAGAAACACTTAAAATTGTTGAATAATTTATTACTTTATTTATCAAAATGTTTATTTTTATTATGTCAAGTGTGTTTTCATAATATAATTTGCAAAATGACGAAAATTCACAGAATTTATATGAAATTAAAAAAATTTATATAGCTTATAGGCTTTATGTATTAAAATAAAAAGTTAGTTCTATCACGTTCGTCATGTTATATTTTTGAGTTTTTCTTTTTAAACTTATTTGCACTGTTCTGAATCTGTTATTGCAGTTTATATATTAATATTCCTTCCCTACTGCTCAATTCACATGAAGGATAATACACTTCTGTACTAATATCCAATATGAATTAGAGGAAAGGGAAATGTAATGAACTGCCACAAATCTGAGTATTTAAATTACTGTATGCATTCAATCAATGTACTGAGCAAGCCAGCGGAAACCTTCACCATACCCTTGTCTTTTCAGTACTGAACACATAAATAATTCCAATGGACGACCAGGTATTTCATTGCGAGAAATTTTTCCCTAGAATTCATATATTATTTTAAACTCATATATAAATTATTTTGTTTTAAACAAAGTGTAACTGTTTATTATACATACTTTTCCTGTTGTTTGACCATAAAGATTGAAATAATTTCTAAGTTCATCCTCTGATGCTGCACCTGGTTTATCGATTTTATTACCTAGCACTAAAACTGGACATGCACTGAGTTGTTCATCAGTTAAAAGTGCATCAAATTCAGCTTTCGATTCTGGTAACCGTGTTCTGTCACTTGCATCAATAAGGAATACTATTGCATCTACTGCAGGAAAATAGTCTTTCCAAACTCTTCGAGCTATAAAAAAAAGAATGTCATATTTCAATAAAAATAATATTATAAAATTTTAATAAATCAATTAATTACACCTTGTACTACATTGTAATAAATCAATTAATTATACCTTGAGGATGTCCTCCAAGATCAAATGTTGTAAACCTCATATTTCCAATAGAAAGTTCTTCTGATGCTGAAGCATAAAAGCATATAATTAAATATAATTAATAAAAAAAATATTGAAATTGAATCATCAAACTAATTATTTAAAAATAAAATACCTGAAATTATTTTAATTTACTAGTAATCTATTAGTATGAATGAGTATATATCTAATATATCTTTAGTATCTAGTATATATTAAATAAAATTATATAAAATTATGTATGCTATTTATATATAACTATAAATTATTTTAAACAATATGTAATTACTTGGGTGTAATGTAGGTACATGTTGAGCTAGTCGATCATCTTTGAGCATGTGAAGTAACGTGGTTTTGCCTGCATTATCTAAACCAAGAAACAAGAGTTTACCACTCTTTTTCCAAAGACCTAAAAATTGAAAATGAAAATCATACAATATGAAAAAATCAAATTTAAATGTATTAATAAGAATTAATAAGAATATATTATAAGATGTAGTATATTATTATAAAATACATAGATGTAATGTATTTATCATAAAAATCATATAATATAAAAAAAGCAACTTTAAATGTAAAAATGTATTATAAGATGTAATATATTAATAAAAACAATTAATACGTTAAAAATATATTAGTAAGAATAAAATAAAGTCAAATTACATACATCTTAATATATCTTATATTTGTATTATAGATATCTATAAAAAAATATATGAAAAATTATAAAAATTACACTTACCAAGGTAATTTAAAACTCCTGCAAACCAGTCCCAAATGAACATATTTGTAGATATGAGTGAATGTTAGGTTTATTATGTACTAACTATTGAATGACTCTGCAACAATGATGAGTTAACAAGATTATCATCTTGCAATGCATAATAGAAACCACCTTTTAGATTCATTATAGCCTTGATATAATTTAAGATATTACTTACATTGTAAGAAAAGATATAGTTAAACATAAATAATAATATTTATAAGTAGTTATAAAGAAACGTTACATCAGTACCATTTATTATATTGAAATAAAGAATAATATTTAGAATATAATTGATGGACGATTACAATTGAAATGCGATAGACTTACCAGATCTCGCGTACTAATAATTGTTTTACGATATTTCGTTCACCACCATTAAATGTAAAATTGCAGACAGGTCAAAAAAACGTGCACATGGTATAATTACATAAAACTTGTTCCTTTTCCTCTGAACTCTGTATGAAATATATGAAGCTGTAAAAAGATGGAGAAAAAGAGTTTTTCTTGCTATAGAAAGCACAGCTTTTAACTAAAAGCCTAGTTGGCTGACAGTTGGCACTGATGACGTCTACTTCCGTCTGCCATATTGTCTACATAGTGCTGTTTCATAAACGCACTAGGTCAATTATTTTAAATTTTCACTTTTTCAACTTATTGTTTTATACATGTACATTAACATTATAAATTACTTTTATTTATTTTTCTAAGTCAATTTATTATATTTTGCGATTATAATAATGATAATGAATAATTATTTTGAATCCTATATTTAGAAATAAACACAATTTTAATATACACATACTAACAATATATTTATAAAGAAAATATACATTATAATTTAAACGCGTTATTAGTGATTTTTATTTATATTGAATGTTTGAAAATATAATATCCCTAGGATATTTTCTTATTTCATTTGGTAATCAATTGTCTTAACCTATTTAGGTTTACTTTATGTACAATCATGATAGCAAGTAAGTTACTTTTAAACTATATTTCTTTCTAAATTAATATGATTTCATTGATATAATTTTATTTTTAATCATTTTAATTTAATATTTACAGATTGGTTAATAAAAAGTTTCCGTACTACATATAATACTGGATATAATATAGGCTCATATATGTTTATGCAAAGTCGAGATTATGCAGCTAGGAAAGGAACAAGAGAGAAAAGAAGATTAAAACTCAAAAAGAAAAAAGTTAAAACAGTAATTGAACAAGTAGGATATGTCCCATATAAAAAGGAAAAAATGTGAGTGATTTATAGCATAAAGTTTTTTGTTAATTTCTTGTTAGAATATATATTATTAATAATAAATTACCAAGTATTCCAATAATTTAATAATAGAATAAAGGCAGAAGTTTGTCCACTAAACACCATTGATGAAAGTTGGAAATGGAAAGCAATCGATAATGTATATATAATAAAATATCATCCACAACCAGTGTATTCTTTAAAAGAGGCTATAGAAAATCATCGTGAAACACATCATCCAACTATGCTTAATAAACCTAATGCAATTGTTAATGCATTTATAGAATTAAATATGAGGGTAAAAGATTTTAAAGTATAATAAAACTTTGTTTATATGAATTTCACTTATTTGAACCAAATTTTAGTTAATTAACTCGATTGTTAAATGCTGGTTGAATCCATTTTGATATAATATTTGAACCTAAACAGTTTATTTACACATATTATATTAAACTTTCACAAATATTACAACTAAGTTAAAAAATTTTTCTAATAAAAGTATTTTTAAAATTATCCAAAATAGCGCGAAAAGAAGAATAGGTATGTTGATAGATTTACGAAGGTCATTGATACACCTCATATATTTACATGTGCGGAAAATAGTAGAACAGTATTAGCCTTTTCCAAGAATTTACAAGAACAAGAAAATGCCAAAAATGCTGGAGCTGATTATATTGGTGGTGTTGAATTGATAAGAAAAATTCAAGTAAGTTAAAATATTATATATTAATTATATCAGCATTATAAAACATAAATATAAATTTAAATACAAATCTATAATTATTATAGAATGGATCGTTCAATTTCAAAGAGTATGACTATGTCGTAGCTCATGCAGATATTTTATCTGATTTATTACTAATTAGGGGATTATTGAAAAAGAAATTTCCAAATATTAAATTAGGTAAATAAACGTGTTCGTTAAACATAAATTTTCATTTACAATTATATTTATATACGATTATGACATTTAAATATCAGTAATTTAAATATTTCAGGTACATTGGGTAATAATATAAATCAATTAGTTAAAAAATTTAAAAATGGAATTATATACACTGCACAGCCTCATAAAATTTTCAAAGAATATGGCGAAATTAGTACGACTTTTGGCTTGGTAAATTTATGATATAGAATATTGCAAAGTTTGATAAAGTATCTAATTTTTAATTGTTTATTTATTTATTAGCTTGATATGGACATAAAAGAACTGGAAGAAAACTTTTCTTCTCTAATCAACGATGTTGAATCAATGAGACCAAAACGTGATGGATTATTTATTGAAAGGTACATATAATTATGTCATTTTTCTAAGATAATAAAATAAAATATCAAAAATATAAATATTTTTAAATGTTACAGAGTTCAAATTAAGAGTGAACTTTCTAATGAATCTTTTAAAATTAACTACCAGGAATATCTTAAAACAAGTAATAACGAAGAAATAAGTAAAGAAGAAGAAGAAGACGAACAAACAGCAATTATTGCTACACATTAATTACATAATGTAGCATAAATAAAATTGCAGTTGATGGTGAATTAAACATTATGTTTTTGTTGTTTACTTATTATGATAAAATACACAGTAACTCACAAAAATTTGAATGCTTTATATATTATTACATTATTTAATATTAATATTTTATTGAAACTTCTTTAGCAGTAATAATTTGTTTTACTCCATACTAATCAATAACGTTATAAAAATATTACTAATGGATCAGTTTTGCTTTCTGGATACTATAATATAGTATAGAAGATAATTATTAAAACTGACAATATAATTCGATCGTGTTTTTGAAGCCTTGAAAGATTGTCGGGAATTAATTTTTTTTCAGCAGAGATGAAGAATCCTTGCATTGAAAGTTCCAATGTACTCTGAAATCAAAATCCAAAATGAAATTTAACATTTGAATTGAGATGAATTTGAAATTATTAGTAACATTAGTAATATTTACTAATAATTTGGGGGAGATGCTAATTCTATTGAAGTGCAAGCATGTTATATAATTCGCAAGCAGAAAAGAAGTGAAAAAAACTTAAAGCTTGATACATACACAGGATTCACTCTGTTTGATTAAATATTTAATTATTTAAAATGTACGTATTCACATCATCGATAACTACTGAAATCGCGATCTAGCAACAATTCTTGCATATTTTATTAAATCGAAACTGAATCAATGATATGAATGTATTTCTCAATTCATCGTTGATCAACCCGAGATTTTTCGTGATAAAATGAATATGGTTAAAGAAAAGTGCTGATGTTTCGGAAAAAAAAAAAGATATGCATATATATATATACAAGGCATTTCATAACTAGTAGTATGATCATTTAGATTAGATGATGGTTTCAAAAATAAATCGAAAACAAAGAATAAGATTTTTTATTTTATTCTCTTTTTTTTTTGTTTTCGAGAAACTCGAGTTTGAAAATTTTTTAAGTATATTTATATTTTTGAACTAATTTTTAACTAGACAGAAATAAATAGTAGGTTCTGTGAAAATAAATCAAAAGTGTAAAATATTTTTATAAGATAAGCTTCGTTTTTGAGAAAATTAACTTCAAAAATTTATCAAATACGATTATTAAGCAAATTCTTAACTAAACATGTTTCAAATTTTATTTCTTTAAAAATAAGGCCTTAAACAAAAAAATTTTATTCTACACTTTTTACTTATTTTAGCAAATAAAATAATTATTTATCGATTATTTTTTCATATTTAGTTCAGAATTTAAATTTAAGAATAAATATACTTGATAAATTTTAAAACTTGATTTTTTTTGAAAACGAAATCTTAAATAAAAAAAATTTTATTCTTTCTTTTTGACTTATTTTTTCACGTAAAATCACTTCTTACACAAAATTATACGGTTGTATTATCAACTAATCTTATATAATGGATATCTTGTATAATGTTTATATGTTGTAATAGGTTTATATAATTTATTTTATATTATAATTATTGTTGTAATATGTTTATTAATTTAGTTTATATTATAATTATTTTTAATATTTATATAAATTCAATGGAATTTTAATGTAGTTAATTATTACATATTTTAATTGTTACATATTTTTAAATAAAATCCTCATGGAATTATAGAATCTCAAACGTACATTCAATTAATCTTCATATGATAATATAATTAAAAATATATTTTTCAATGTCATGCATACTTTGTGTTCCTAGAATGGTCTCATCAAATATTTTTTTAATGGTAATGTGTTCCCGAACATAACGTATTTCGAGCAGGATTTACAGGAACATTTAATTTTTTTATTTTTAAATAAGATTAAAATTGGCGAAAATGTCGTTATCGCTGGCTGTCGCCTTCTTGCCATAAGATCCTGTGTTAGCTATAAATCGATATATTTGCATTTACAAGGGCCAATGATACGACGAAACAATTTTTTATAATTATCATCACAGAACGATCAATTGTTTTCTATAAGTATTTATTATAATAAACTCTCTATCGATGGTTTTTAGGCAATTCCGGAAATTATCCACGTAATGCATATATCTGTTACAATTTTTATCTAATTTTTTTGTAGGGTTGGAATAAATTCAGCTAATTAATTCATTATTAATTGCTTGACACACTTCTAGAACAATTTTTCATATGGTAATAAGCTGCTTCATGAATTATTTGGTATGAATCTTCTGTTGCTAGAAATTTATGTATTTCATGTTACTATTTTTATATTATTAATAATTTTAGATGTAGATTTATGAAATTTAATATCATTTGCCTTCTTATAGATGCGATAATATGTTAAGAATCTTTGAGATTACAATATCACAAATTTAATGAAACAAGAAACAAAATGCGGACAAACAACTCCGAAAAATATAAAATGGAAATTTCAAGATCAGATATTCTTTCTAAATTCTTAAATATCATTGATGTATAAGATTCCTTGATTTAATTGGAAGGAAATGAAGAAATGGAGGAAAAAATATATAGATGTTCAAGAACTTTCATAAAATTAAAATAAACATGATCATGAATCACAATTTAATTATTTAAAAAAAAATTAAAAATAAAAATATTTATTCATGCTCACAGATCTTTACAACATTAATAAAATATTAATAATAAAACATTAATATTAGAAATTAGAAAAACAGAATGCTAAAACTGCTCATCCCATTGGGCAAAAATATTTTTTCCCAATGAATCAACTTGTAAATTGTAAAAATTGTAAAAATTGAAATATTGTATTTTTCATAATAAACGAGATTGAAGTACTTATGTGATACTTTATCCCATTTTTCACAAATATTGAATTAAATTCTCAGACTTATAATTCATACATTAGTACTTGCAATAATTTAATAAAATACTAATATTATAAATATTTATTAAATAATATTGTCTAATATCATAGTATTATAAATTTTTATATTAGTATTCGGGAAAGTTTCTATGCGAGAATGTCACATGGTCTGATGGCATGTTTGCTATAGAGAATTTATATGGTTTTCAAGTGACCTGAACTTCTAGTTTTAAGTTGCCAGCAAACCTTTGACCGTCTAGCTGATCTTTATTCAAAAAAACCTAACGTAGTCCTCGACCATGGCAAAAGTCAAGGCATTGATTTTACCACTTTACCATTTCATCACTTCTTCATTTTTCTCTGAGACTAATTATATCTCTCTTAGATCTCTTTCTATCTCCTTCCACTGTCGTATCGTCTTCGAGCATGTTTCACTTGTTCTTACAAAACTTGTATTTCTTTCCTTCTTTCTTCTACCAGTACTTATTTCATTTTTAGATGACTATCATCTCATTTTTTCATTTTTCTTTCGTATTTTTATAGTAAGCACAACGGAGGCACATATTTCAAATCTTATATTAGAGAATCAGTACTCTTTTTATTCGCTCCACTGTTTTTTCAATGCTCAAATGCCCAATCACATTATTATCGTATTTGTGACATATTTTACCATTGTTAGAAACATCCACCTCTTAAAGTTGTCATCCAGTTGCTTAATTAATTAGTTCGTACATTTCGAAATATTTTTTCATCAGAATTATCTTGAGTCTCACTATCTGCTCATTTTACAGTTATGCAGCTAATATTCAATTTCTGTCAGATACACATGATTAATTTCAAGGGCGCTGCAGCTTAAAAATCTATACTATTGACGAGACAAGCTGAACGAATACATTGTCGAAGCACGTATTGAATGTTTTATCATTATTTCTAATTATTCATTAATATATGTATGCAAAGTCCAATAAACGAATGCACTCAACTGCTCCATTATTTAATAAAAATTAACTCTGCAGCTTCTACGAGTTTCGTGCTTAATTTGGTAACGAATTTTCAAAGAATTTTTTAATTCTTGTCCGGCGTTTATGTTGGAAATTAAACAAAATTTTGTATCGTAATCTAGTAATTAGTTGTATAAAAAAAAACTTTCCTGTTTTACGATTGGTCCAAATTGCATAAATGTTCCATCTCCTTTTTTGTCTCTTTTTTTGTATGATTTTCTTTCTTCAACATAATGGCTATCGCAGCTAAATCCTCGATTAAAAATGAAAAGTACATCGACATGTTGAACGCTTGATTTCTTTCATTATAATAATCAATATTCGTTATAATCATATAAACTACCATGTACCAGCGAACAAAATACGATCAATACTTCGATAGTGCCTTTGTTTAGCTCAGTGCATTCACACGATTCGATAAATGGATCTTTGTGTCTACATAACTTATTTTAGATTCCGAGAAGTCGATTCGATAAAATCCTATACTTCTACTTTTAACTACCAATGCGCAATTAGTGGTATCAAGTTTCGCTTATTGTTGGAAAAGTTGTTTGCAGCAATTGTGACTGAGTTAAAATGCAAAGAGATGCTAGTAGATATGTATACCTTAAATTAACGCGTAAACTACAGCTATGTTCTCCAATTCGTGACAGTATTTTTATTTTGAAGTGATTTGTCTGCTGTAATATGCTACAACTACTATTGTGCTGTTTGTATTTTTTTGCGTCAAAATAGCACATATATCCAACGAATTGTGTGTGTGTGTGTGTGTGTGTGTGTGTGTGTGTGTGTGTGTGTGTGTGTGTGTGTGTGTGTGTGTGTGTGTGTGTGAGTNTGTGTGTGTGTGTGTGTGTGTGTGTGTGTGTGTGTGTGTGTGTGTGTGTGTGTGTGTGTGTGTGTGTGTGTGTGTGTGTGGTATCTGTATACAGTACTATCAGTAAGAGCTGATTGAATATTGTTCGCTGATAACGCACTGTTAATTTGTTTTTGATCTCCTTGAAAATCTTCTGTTGGATGGGTATCCGTGCTTATGATTTATTCTTGTAAAAATGTCTTGTTCATATAATTTCTTGATACCCTATGCAATATTGTCTAGCATTATATGGTTTTTTAGCCTAACGCTTTTGTCTTGGACGTGGTAATTTTTGAGATTAATTTTGAAGTACTTTTACAGGACAAAGCAAGTTTTGATATCAGATACCAAAAGTGACTTTTGAAATTGAATCTAACGTGGAGATCATTATTTGTGACTAATAATTCCGAGTTACAATCTACATTTCCAGGAGGTTTAAGTCAGTTTTCAGATTTCTTCTTTGATATTGTAAAATCAGAAATGCCAAGAAAACAGATTGCCATATATATTTCAATACTTTTTAGAAATGGACATGGCAAGTTTTGAAATTTCATGGTTTGTTAGATATTTCAATCTTTAATAGCCGAATTTTATTTAATAATTTATTCGAAAGTATCGACTTGCAGAACTGCCACAGAACTTCTTTCGTTTCAGTTCAACTCATTGATATTTCTTTCCTATTGACGCTCCAAGTTTTCTACGTATTCAATCCAGGACTCCATGGTCAAATCGTCCTGAGCCATATGGGAATCATTACTCGTCCCCGGTATGATTGACCATGCTCCTAGTGATTGCTCGCATTGCAATTCATCGATCATTCCCTGTAGCTATTCTATCTGTCCTTGCTATCGACGCTCTTTCAAAATACTATGCAATCTTCTATGAATGGTCGGAAATTCATGATACAAATCGAGTTAGAGAGATTCTATGGCTCAGAATAAGATGAAGATCAAGAATAACGAAATTGCGTGGGAGGCTTCGTTTTCGAGAAAAATGAAGTTGAAAATCAGTCGAGTTCGCATGCATTTAATATTAAAATTAATAACCGATATTACGGATTTCATTACATACTGCTGTTTTGACTGTTTTTGTACAAAATGTAATAT